AACATCATCATAGCTAACATCATCATCATAGCTAACATCATCATCATAGCTAACATCATCATCATTGTTAATATCATCATCATAGCTAACATCATCATCATAGCTAACATAGCTATCATCATCATCATAGCTATCATCATCATAGCTATCATCATCATCATAGCTAACATCATCATAGCTAACATCATCATAGCTAACATCATCATCATAGCTAACATCATCATCATAGCTAACATCATCATCATTGTTAATATCATCATCATAGCTAACATCATCATCATAGCTAACATCATCATCATAGCTATCATCATCATCATAGCTATCATCAACATCATCATAGCTATCATCATCATAGCTAACATCATCATAGCTAACATCATCATCATAGCTAACATCATCATCATCATCATAGCTAACATCATCATAGCTAACATCACCATCATAGCTAACATCATCATCATAGCTAACATCACCATCATAGCTAACATCATCATAGCTCTCATCATCATCATAGCTATCATCAACATCATCATAGCTATCATCATCATAGCTAACATCATCATAGCTAACATCATCATAGCTAACATCACCATCATAGCTAACATCATCATAGATAACATCATCATCATAGATAACATCATCATAGATAACATCATCATCATAGCTATCATCATCATAGCTAACATCATCATCATAGCTAACATCATCATTGTTAATATCATCATAGCTAACATCATCATCATAGCTAACATAGCTATCATCATCATCATAGCTATCATCATCATAGCTATCATCAACATCAGCATAGCTATCATCATCATAGCTAACATCATCATAGCTAACATCATCATAGCTAACATCATCATCATAGCTAACATCATCATCATCATAGCTAACATCATCATAGCTAACATCACCATCATAGCTAACATCATCATCATAGCTAACATCACCATCATAGCTAACATCATCATAGCTATCATCATCATCATAGCTATCATCAACATCATCATAGCTATCATCATCATAGCTAACATCATCATAGCTAACATCATCATCATAGCTAACATCATCATCATAGCTAACATCATCATCATAGCTAACATCATCATAGCTAACATCACCATCATAGCTAACATCATCATCATAGCTAACATCATCATCATAGCTAACATCATCATAGCTAACATCATCATCATAGCTAACATCATCATCATAGCTAACATCATCATAGCTAACATCACCATCATAGCTAACATCATCATCATAGCTAACATCATCATAGCTAACATCATCATAGCTAACATCATCATCATCATAGCTAACATCATCATCATCATAGCTAACATCATCATAGCTAACATCTCGATTTAAAGCTTTCGTGACTGCAAGGATTCATCTTCTTTGATTCTTTCGGTAAAGTCACGTAGAATGAGAATACAATAATAAATTGATAAAATAAAATAACACAATAATATTCTCACGACGTTTCGGCCACAACACAAGCGGCCTTCATCAGGTGAAGGGACGAGACTGTCTGGAGGACAGCGCTGGAGCGAACAAAGCCACGTTCAGATCACGACCTTTAAGCTGTGTGAGAAGAAACAAAGCGCCTTGACAAAGGAATTAGCATAGAATTTAGCATTGAAATGGCTCATTGAAATAGCTGAGTTAAAGTATACACATCCGCAAAGGCACCCCTTGACAAAGGAATTAGCATATAATTTAGCATTGAAATGGCTGAGTGATTAGCTTGTGACTGGTCACAGAAATGGCTAAGTTAAAGCATACACATCCACAGAGGCACCCCTTGACAAAGGAATTAGCATATAATTTAGCATTGAAATAGCTGAGTGATTAGCTTGTAACTGGTCACAGAAATAGCTATGTTTAAAGTCAGAGCATACACATTCACCGAGGCACCTAGTACAAATCAAACAGGAGAATTTAGCATTGGAATAACTAGGCGAATTTAGCATTGAAATAACTGAGTGATTAGCTAGTGACTGGTCACAGAAATGGCTATGTTGAAGTCAAGGTCTACACATCTGAGCTATTCACAGTAACTGGGTATACAATACAATGTATAATGACTACTATATAGTGAACCAATAAAAAAGAACCAAAGAAGATGAATCCTTGCAGTCACGCAAGCTTTAAATCGAAAATCATCATAGCTAACATCATCATAGCTAACATCATCATAGCTAACATCATCATAGCTATCATCATCATCATCATTGCTAACATCATCATCATCATTGCTAACATCATCATCATAGCTAACATCATCATGATAGCTAACATCATCATCATAGCTAACATCATCATCATCATAGCTAACATCATCATTGCTAACATCATCATCATAGCTAACATCATCATAGCTAACATCATCATCATAGCTAACATCATCATCATAGCTAACATCATCATCATTGTTAATATCATCATCATAGCTAACATAGCTATCATCATCATCATAGCTATCATCATCATAGCTATCATCATCATCATAGCTAACATCATCATAGCTAACATCATCATAGCTAACATCATCATCATAGCTAACATCATCATCATAGCTAACATCATCATCATTGTTAATATCATCATCATAGCTAACATCATCATCATAGCTAACATCATCATCATAGCTATCATCATCATCATAGCTATCATCAACATCATCATAGCTATCATCATCATAGCTAACATCATCATAGCTAACATCATCATCATAGCTAACATCATCATCATCATCATCATAGCTAACATCATCATAGCTAACATCACCATCATAGCTAACATCATCATCATAGCTAACATCACCATCATAGCTAACATCATCATAGCTCTCATCATCATCATAGCTATCATCAACATCATCATAGCTATCATCATCATAGCTAACATCATCATAGCTAACATCATCATAGCTAACATCACCATCATAGCTAACATCATCATCATAGCTAACATCATCATCATAGCTAACATCATCATAGCTAACATCACCATCATAGCTAACATCATCATCATAGCTAACATCACCATCATAGCTAACATCATCATAGCTAACATCATCATCATCATAGCTAACATCATCATCATAGCTAACATCATCATAGCTAACATCTCGATTTAAAGCTTTCGTGACTGCAAGGATTCATCTTCTTTGGTTCTTTCGGTAAAGTCACCACGTAGAATGAGAATAAAATAATAAATTGATAAAATAAAATAACACAATAATATTCTCACGACGTTTCGGCCACAACACAAGCGGCCTTCATCAGGTGAAGGGACGAGACTGTCTGGAGGACAGCGCTGCAGTGAAAAAGCCACGCTTAGATCACGACCTTTAAGCTGTGTGAGAAGAAACAAAGCGCCTTGACAAAGGAATTAGCATATAATTTAGCATTGAAATGGCTCATTGAAATAGCTAAGTTAAAGTATACACATCCGCAGAGGCACCCCTTGACAAAGGAATTAGCATAGAATTTAGCATTGAAATGGCTCATTGAAATAGCTAAGTTAAAGTATACACATCCGCAGAGGCACCCCTTGACAAAGGAATTAGCATAGAATTTAGCATTGAAATGGCTCATTGAAATAGCTAAGTTAAAGTATACACATCCGCAGAGGCACCCCTTGACAAAGGAATTAGCATAGAATTTAGCATTGAAATGGCTCATTGAAATAGCTAAGTTAAAGTATACACATCCGCAGAGGCACCCCTTGACAAAGGAATTAGCATTAGAATTTAGCATTGAAATGGCTGAGTGATTAGCTTGTGACTGGTCACAGAAATGGCTATGTTAAAGTCAAAGCCTACACATCCACAGAGGCACCCCTTGACAAAGGAATTAGCATATAATTTAGCATTGAAATGGCTGAGTAATTAGCTTGTGACTGGTCACAGAAATGGCTATGTTAAAGTCAAAGCATACACATCCGCAGAGGCACCCCTTGACAAAGGAATTACCATAGAATTTAGCATTGAAATAGCTGAGTGATTAGCTTGTAACTGGTCACAGAAATAGCTATGTTTAAAGTCAGAGCATACACATTCACCGAGGCACCTAGTACAAATCAAACAGGAGAATTTAGCATTGGAATAACTGAGTGATTAGCTAGTGACTGGTCACAGAAATGGCTATGTTGAAATCAAGGTCTACACATCTGAGCTATTCACAGTAACTGGGTATACAATACAATGTATAATGACTACTATATAGTGAACCAATAAAAAAGAACCAAAGAAGATGAATCCTTGCAGTCACGAAAGCTTTAAATCGAAAATCATCATAGCTAACATCATCATAGCTAACATCATCATAGCTAACATCATCATAGCTAACATCATAGCTAACATCATCATCATAGCTAACATCATCACTAATATCATCACCACCACTAACATCATCACCGCCAACACTAACATCACCACCACCAACACTAACATCACCACCACCATCACTAACATCACCACCACCATCACTAACATCACCACCACCATCACCACCACCATCACTAACATCACCACCACCATCACCACCACCATCACTAACATCACCACCACCATCACCACCATGACCATCACCACCACCGCCACCACCACCACCATCACCACCACCATCACCACCACCACCATTACCATCATTAACATCATCACCACCATCACTAACATCACCACCACCATCACTAACATGACCACCACCATCACCACCATCATCACCACCATCACCACCACTAACATCACCACCATCATCACCACCACCATCACCGCCACGAACATCACCACCACCACCATCACCACCAGCATCACCACCACCATCACCACCATCAACCTCCTCTGCCGATTATTATGGGTTCCATCGTTGATCTGGGATCGGGAATCTTAGGGATCCACTTCTCCCCTACCCCCCCCCGTGCCCCCCCCCCGTGCCCCTCCCCCGTGCCCCCCCCCGTGCCCCCCCCCGTGTCCCCCCCCCCCTCAGGAGGAGGAGAGGAGGCGGGTGAGGAGGGAGGAGCGAGTGGCTGAGATGCGCAGAGACCCACGGCTGCGGTTGCTGAGCAAGCGGAAGGTGTCACTCTCACCACCGCCATCACCACTACTAACATCACTCTCACCACCGCCATCACCACTACTAACATCACCACTACTAACATCACTCTCACCACCGCCATCACCACTAACATCACCACCACTAACATCACCACTACTAACATCACCACTACTAACATCACCACTACTAACATCACCACTACTAACATCACCACTACTAACATCACCACTACTAACATCACCACTACTAACATCATCACTACTAACATCACCACTACTAACATCACCACTACTAACATCACCACTACTAACATCACCACTACTAACATCACTCTCACCACCGCCATCACCACTAACATCACCACCACTAACATCACCACTACTAACATCACCACTACTAACATCACCACTACTAACATCACCACTACTAACATCACCACTACTAACATCACCACTACTAACATCACCACTACTAACATCACCACTACTAACATCACCACTAACATCACTAACATCACCACTAACATCACTACTAACATCACCACTACTAACATCATCACTACTAACATCATCACTCTAACATCACTACTAACATCACTCTCACCACCGCCATCACCACTAACATCACCACTACTAACATCACCACTACTAACATCACCACTACTAACATCACCACTACTAACATCACCACTACTAACATCACCACTACTAACATCACTCTCACCACCGCCATCACCACTAACATCACCACCACTAACATCACCACTACTAACATCACCACTACTAACATCACCACTACTAACATCACCACTACTAACATCACCACTACTAACATCACCACTACTAACATCACCACTACTAACATCATCACTAACATCACTAACATCACCACTAACATCACTACTAACATCATCACTACTAACATCATCACTACTAACATCACCACTACTAACATCACCACTAACATCACTACTAACATCATCACTACTAACATCATCACTACTAACATCACCACTACTAACATCATCACTAACATCACTACTAACATCACCACTAACATCATCACTAACATCACTACTAACATCACTACTAACATCATCACTAACATCACTACTAACATCATCACTAACATCACCACTAACATCACCACTAACATCACTACTAACATCACTACTAACATCATCACTAACATCACTACTAACATCACCACTAACATCACTACTAACATCACTACTAACATCATCACTAACATCACTACTAACATCACCACTAACATCATCACTAACATCACTACTAACATCACTACTAACATCATCACTAACATCACTACTAACATCACCACTAACATCATCACTAACATCACTACTAACATCATCACTAACATCACTTATAACATCACTACTAACATCATCACTAGCATCACTACTAACATCACTAACATCACCACTAACATCACTACTAACATCACCACTAACATCATCACTAACATCACTACTAACATCACCACTAACATCATCACTAACATCACCACTAACATCACTACTAACATCACTACTAACATCACCACTAACATCACTACTAACATCACCACTAACATCATCACTAACATCACTACTAACATCACTACTAACATCACCACTAACATCACCACTAACATCACCACTAACATCACCACTAACATCATCACTAACATCATCACTAACATCACTACTAACATCACCACTAACATCATCACTAACATCACTACTAACATCACCACTAACATCACTACTAACATCACCACTAACATCATCACTAACATCACTACTAACATCACTACTAACATCACTAACATCACTACTAACATCACTCTCACCACCGCCATCGTCACCATCGTCACCATCATCACTAACATCACCACTAACATCACTACTAACATCATCACTAACATCACTACTAACATCACCACTAACATCATCACTAACATCACTACTAACATCACTACTAACATCATCACTAACATCACTACTAACATCACCACTAACATCATCACTAACATCACTACTAACATCATCACTAACATCACTACTAACATCACTACTAACATCATCACTAACATCACTACTAACATCATCACTAACATCACCACTAACATCACTACTAACATCACCACTAACATCATCACTAACATCACTACTAACATCACCACTAACATCATCACTAACATCACCACTAACATCACTACTAACATCACTACTAACATCACCACTAACATCACTACTAACATCACCACTAACATCATCACTAACATCACTACTAACATCACTACTAACATCACCACTAACATCACTACTAACATCACCACTAACATCATCACTAACATCATCACTAACATCACTACTAACATCACCACTAACATCATCACTAACATCACTACTAACATCACTACTAACATCACCACTAACATCACTACTAACATCACCACTAACATCATCACTAACATCACTACTAACATCACCACTAACATCATCACTAACATCACCACTAACATCACTACTAACATCACTACTAACATCACCACTAACATCACTACTAACATCACCACTAACATCATCACTAACATCACTACTAACATCACTACTAACATCATCACTAACATCACTACTAACATCACCACTAACATCATCACTAACATCACTACTAACATCACTACTAACATCACTAACATCACTACTAACATCACTCTCACCACCGCCATCGTCACCATCGTCACCATCATCACTAACATCACCACTAACATCACTACTAACATCACTACTAACATCACTACTAACATCACTAACATCACCACTAACATCACTCTCACCACCGCCATCGTCACCATCATCACTAACATCATCACTACTAACATCACTACTAACATCATCACTAACATCACTACTAACATCACTACTAACATCATCACTAACATCACTACTAACATCATCACTAACATCACCACTAACATCACTACTAACATCACCACTAACATCATCACTAACATCACTACTAACATCACCACTAACATCATCACTAACATCACCACTAACATCACTACTAACATCACTACTAACATCACCACTAACATCACTACTAACATCACCACTAACATCATCACTAACATCACTACTAACATCACTACTAACATCACCACTAACATCACTACTAACATCACCACTAACATCATCACTAACATCATCACTAACATCACTACTAACATCACCACTAACATCATCACTAACATCACTACTAACATCACTACTAACATCACTACTAACATCATCACTAACATCACTACTAACATCACCACTAACATCATCACTAACATCACTACTAACATCACTACTAACATCATCACTAACATCACTACTAACATCACCACTAACATCATCACTAACATCACTACTAACATCACTACTAACATCACTAACATCACTACTAACATCACTCTCACCACCGCCATCGTCACCATCGTCACCATCATCACTAACATCACCACTAACATCACTACTAACATCACTACTAACATCACTACTAACATCACTAACATCACCACTAACATCACTCTCACCACCGCCATCGTCACCATCATCACTAACATCATCACTACTAACATCACTACTAACATCATCACTAACATCACCACTAACATCACTCTCACCACCGCCATCGTCACCATCACCACTAACATCATCACTAACATCACTACTAACATCACTAACATCACTCTCACCACCGCCATCGTCACCATCATCACTAACATCATCACTACTAACATCACCACTAACATCACTAACATCACTCTCACCACCGCCATCGTCACCATAATCACTAACATCATCACTACTAACATCATCACTAACATCACCACTAACATCACTCTCACCACCGCCATCGTCACCATCATCACTAACATCACTCTCACCACCGCCATCGTCACCATCACCACTAACATCACCACTAACATCACCACTAACATCACTAACATCACCACTAACATCACTCTCACCACCGCCATCGTCACCATCACCACTAACATCATCACTAACATCACCACTAACATCACTACTAACATCACCACTAACATCACTACTAACATCACTAACATCACTCTCACCACCGCCATCGTCACCATCACCACTAACATCATCACTAACATCACCACTAACATCACTACTAACATCACTAACATCACTACTAACATCACCACTAACATCACTACTAACATCACTAACATCATAACTAACATCACTCTCACCACCGCCATCGTCACCATTATCACTAACATCACTACTCACATCACTACTAACATCATCACTAACATCACCACTAACATCACCACTAACATCACTACTAACATCACTCTAACCACCGCCATCGTCACCATCACCACTAACATCACTAACATCACGACTAACATCACTCTCATCACCGCCATCATCACCATCACCACTAACATCACCACTAACATCATCACTAACATCACTACTAACATCACTACTAACATCACCACTAACATCACCACTAACATCACCACTAACATCACTACTAACATCACCACTAACATCACTACTAACATCACTACTAACATCACTACTAACATCACTACTAACATCACTACTAACATCACCACTAACATCACTAACATCATCACCATCACCACTAACATCATCACTAACATCACTCTCACCACCACCATCGTCACCATCACCACTAACATCATCACTAACATCAATAACATCACTAACATCACCACTAACATCACTACTAACATCACCACTAACATCACTACTAACATCACCACCATCACTAACATCACCACCATCACCACCATCACTAACATCACCACCACCACCACTAACATCACTAACATCACCACCATCACTAACATCACCACCATCACTAACATCAACACCATCACTAACATTACCACCACCACTAACATCACCACTAACATCACTAATATCACTATCATCACTAACATCACCATCACTAACATCACCATCACTAACATCACCATCACCACCATCACTAGCATCACCACCATCCCTAACATCATTACCATCACTAACATCACTAACATCACCATCACTAACATCACCATCACTAACATCACTGACATCACCACCATCACTAACATCACCATGACCACCATCACTAACATCACCATCACCATCACCACCATCATCACCACTATCACCACCGTCATCTCCACCACCGCCACCATCATCACTATCACCACCATCACCACAACCACCGCCATCATCACCGCTATCATCACCACGATCATCACCACGATCATCACCACCATCATCATTATCACCACCACCACCATCATTATTACCACTGCCATCATCACTGCCATCATCACCGCCAGCTGCCATTCGCCATCAAGTGACGGTGACGTCACCACGCGGCCTGTGCCAGGCTAGGTGCACTTTGAGGCCACGTGAAGTGTCGAGGGCTCTCAGCTGACAGGAGGTCACGTGACAGACCCTGCAGGTGCCATGGGTTGTACTGCTGTGCCAGGCTAGGTGCAGGAGGAGGTCACGTGACAGACTCAGCAGGTGCCCCTCCCACCTTAACCCCCTCCCTCCTCCCCCCTCCCTCCCTCCTCCCTCCCTCATCCCCCCTCCCTCCTCCCCCCTCCCTCCTCCCTCCCTCCCCTCTCCCTCCTCCCCCCTCCTTCCTCTCTCCCTCCCCCCTCCTCCCTCCCCCCCTCCCTCCTCCCTCCTCCCTCCCCCCTCCTCTCAGCGGGAAGAGGACCGGGACATTGAGAGACTGATGGCTCTGAGCAAGAGCGGTGACGGTGATGACGGTGGTGGTGGCGGTGGTGGCGGTGGTGGCGGTGGAGGAGGTGGAGGAGGTGGCGGTGGAGGAGGTGGAGGAGGAGGTGGAGGCGACGCTGCGGACGAGGAGCTGATTGTGGACGAGTACGAGAGCGACGATGAGGAGAAGGCCGCAACGGATCGTGGGTGAGCGAGCAGCCACGGTCGGGGCCGTCGGTTGTTGTTGTGGTTGTTGTGGTTGGTGTGGTTGTTGGTGTTGTGGTTGTTGTGGTTGTTGTTGTTGTGGTTGTGGTTGTTGTGGTTGTTGTGGTGGTTGTGGTGGTTGGTGTGGTTGTTGTTGTGGTTGTTGGTGTGGTTGTTGTGGTTGTTGTTGTTGGTGTGTTTGTGGTTGTTGTGGTTGTTGTTGTGGTGGTTGTGGTTGTTGTGGTTGTTGTGGTGGTTGTGGTGGTTGGTGTGGTTGTTGTTGTGGTTGTTGGTGTGGTTGTTGGTGTGGTTGTTGGTGTGGTTGTTGTTGGTGTGGTTGGTGTGGTTGTTGTTGTGGTTGGTTGTTGTGGTTGTTGGTGTGGTTGTTGTTGTGGTTGGTGTGGTTGTGGTTGGTGTGGTTGTGGTTGGTGTGGTTGTTGTTGTTGGTGTGGTTGTTGTGGTTGGTGTTGTTGATGTTGTTGTGGTTGTGGTTGGTGTGGTTGTGGTTGTTGGTGTTGTTGGTGTGGTTGTTGTTGTTGGTGTGGTTGTGGTTGGTGTGGTTGTTGTTGTTGTTGGTGTTGTTGTTGGTGTTGTTGTTGTTGGTGTGGTCGTGGTTGTTGTTGGTGTGGTTGTTGTTGTTGGTGTGGTTGTTGGTGTGGTTGTTGTCGTTGTTGTCGTCGAGCGCGTGTGTTGTGTGTGTGTTGAGTGTTTTGTGGCGTGTTGTGTGTGTGGTGTGCGTGTGGTGTGTGTTGTGTGTGTTGTGTGTGTGGTGTGTGTGTTGTGTGTGTGTTGTGTGTGTGTTGTGTGTGTTGTGTGCGTGTGGTGTGTGTTGTGTGCGTGGTGTGTGTTGTGTGCGTGGTGTGTGTTGTGTGTGTGGTGTACGAGTGAGTGTTGTGTGCGTGGTGTGTGTTGTTGCGTGTGTTGTGTGTGTTGTGGTGTGCGAGTGTGTGGTGTGTGTGTTGTGTGTGTGTTGTGTGAGTGTGTGGTGTGTGTGTTGTGTGTGTGTGGTGTGCGAGTGTGTGTGGTGTGCGAGTGTGTGGTGTGTGTGTTGTGGTGTATGGTGTGTTCTGGTGTGTGGTGTGTTGTGGTGTGTGTGGTGTGTGTGTTGCGGTGTGTGTGGTGTGTGTGGTGTGCGAGTGTGGTGTGTGTGGTGTGCGAGTGTGTGTTGCGTGTGTTGTTGTGGTGTGCGTTGCTGTTGTGGTGTGCGCTGCTGTTGTGGTGTTGTGTTGTGTGTTTTGTGGCGTGTTGTTGTGTGTGTGGTGTGCGAGTGTGTGTTGTGTGCGTGGTGTGTGTTGTTGCGTGTGTTGTGTTGTGTGTGTTGTGTGCGTGGTGTGCGTTGTGTGCGTGGTGTGTGTGGAGTGTGTGGTGTGCGAGTGTGTGGTGTGCGAGTGTGTATTGTTGTGTGTGGTGTGCGAGTTTGTGTGGTGTGTGTGTGGTGTGCGAGTGTGTGTTGTGGTGTGCGAGTGTGTGTTGTGGTGTGCGAGTGTGTGGGGTGTGTGTTGGTGCAAGTGTGTGTGGTGTGCGAGTGTGTTGTGTGTGTGTGGTGTGCGAGTGTGTGTGGTGTGCGAGTGTGTGTTGTGTGTGTGTGTGTGGTGTGCGAGTGTGTGGTGTGCGAGTGTGTGTGTGTGGTGTGCGAGTGTGTGGTGTGTGTGTGTGGTGTGCGAGTGTGTGGTGTGTGTGGTGTGCGAGTATGTGTTGTGTGTATTGTTGCGTGGTGTGGGTGGGTGGATGGGAGAGTGGATGGGTGAGTGGTATGGTGAGTAAATGAGTGGCTGGGTGAGTGGCTGGGTGAGTGGTATGGTGAGTGGCTGGGTGAGTGGTATGGTGAGTGGCTGGGTAAGTGGTATGGCAAGTGGTATGGTGAGTGGGTGAGTGGTATGGTGAGTGGGTGAGTGGTATGGTGAGTGGGTGAGTGGTATGGTGAGTGGCTGGGTGAGTGGTATGGTGAGTGGTATGGTGATGACGCTGTGCGTCCCTCTCTCTCTCTCTGTGCAGCTTTGATGACGATGATGGTGAGGATGGTGAGGAACCCCATGTCACCAAGGTGAGCGGTGGTGGTGATGGTCGTGGTGGTGATGGTTGTGGTGGTGATGATGGTTGTGGTGGTGATGGTCGTGGTGGTGGTGATGGTTGTGGTGGTGATGGTCGTGGTGGTGGTGATGGTTGTGGTGGTGATGGTCGTGGTGGTGGTGATGGTTGTGGTGGTGATGGTCGTGGTGGTGGTGATAGTTGTGGTGGTGATGGTCGTGGTGGTGATGATGGTTGTGGTGGTGATGGTTGTGGTGGTGATGGTCGTGGTGGTGATGATGGTTGTGGTGGTGATGGTTGTGGTGGTGATGGTCGTGGTGGTGATGGTCGTGGTGGTGATGATGGTTGTAGTTGTGATGGTCGTGGTGGTGATGATGGTTGTAGTTGTGATGGTCGTGGTGGTGATGATGGTTGTGGTGGTGATGGTTGTGGTGGTGATGGTGGTTGTAGTTGTGATGGTCGTGGTGGTGATGATGGTTTTGGTGGTGATGGTCGTGGTGGTGATGATGGTTGTAGTGGTGATGGTCGTGGTGGTGATGATGGTTGTGGTGGTGATGGTCGTGGTGGTGATGGTCGTGGTGGTGATGATGGTTGTAGTGGTGATGGTCGTGGTGGTGATGATGGTTGTAGTGGTGATGGTCGTGGTGGTGATGATGGTTGTAGTGGTGATGGTCGTGGTGGTGGTGATGGTCGTGGTGGTGATGGTCGTGGTGGTGATGGTCATGGTGGTGATGATGGTTGTAGTGGTGATGGTCGTGGTGGTGATGATGGTTGTAGTGGTGATGGTCGTGGTGGTGATGATGGTTGTAGTGGTGATGGTCGCGGTGGTGGTGATGGTCGTGGTGGTGATGATGGTTGTGGTGGTGATGGTCGTGGTGGTGGTGATGGTCGTGGTGGTGATGATGGTTGTGGTGGTGATGGTCGTGGTGGTGGTGATGGTCGTGGTGGTGATGATGGTTGTGGTGGTGGTGATGATGGTTGTGGTGGTGATGGTCGTGGTGGTGATGATGGTTGTGCTGGTGATGGTCGTGATGATGGTTGTAGTGGTGATGGTCGTGGTGGTGATGATGGTTGTAGTGGTGATGGTCGTGGTGGTGATGATGGTTGTAGTGTTTATGGTGGGGATGATGATGGTTGTAGTGTTGATGGTGGTGGTGGGGATGATGATGGTTGTAGTATTGATGGTGGTGTTGGGGATGATGATGGTTGTAGTGTTTATGGTGGTGGTGGGGATGATGATGGTTGTAGTGTTGGTGGTGGGGATGATGATGGTTTTGGTGGTGGTAATGGTGGTGGGGATGATGATGGTTGTAGTATTGATGGTGGTGGTGGGGATGATGATGGTTGTGGTGGTGGTAATGGTGGTGGGGATGATGATGGTTGTAGTGTTGGTGGTGGTGGGGATGATGATGGATGTAGTGTTTATGGTGGGGATGATGATTGTTGTGGTGGTGGTGGTGTTGGGGATGATGATGGTTGTAGTGTTGGTGGTGGTGGTGGGGATGATGATGGTTGTAGTGTTGGTGGTGGTGTTGGGGATGATGATGGTTGTAGTATTGATGGTGGTGTTGGGGATGATGATGGTTGTAGTGTTGATGGTGGTGTTGGGGATGATGATGGTTGTAGTATTGATGGTGGTGGTGGGGATGATGATGGTTGTGGTGGTGGTAATGGTGGTGGGGATGATGATGGTTGTAGTGTTGGTGGTGGGGATGATGATGGATGCAGTGTTTATAGTGGGGATGATGATTGTTGTGGTGGTGTTGGGGATGATGATGGTTGTAGTGTTGATGGTGCGGATGATGATGGTAGTAGTGTTGATGGTGGGGATAATGATGGTTGTAGTTCTAATGGTGGTGGTGGTGGGGATGATGATGGTTGTGTTGGTGGTAATGGTGGTGGGGATGATGATGGATGTAGTGGTCGTGGTGGGGATGATGATTGTTGTCGTGGTGGTGGTGGTGTTGGGGATGATGATGGTTGTAGTGTTGATGGTGCGGATGATGATGGTAGTAGTTTTGATGGTGGGGATGATGATGGATGTAGTGGTGGTGGTGGGGATGATGATTGTTGTAGTGGTGGTGTTGGGGATGATGATGGTTATAGTGTTGATGGTGGGGATAATGATGGTTGTAGTTTTGATGGTGGTGGTGGAGATGATGATGATTGTTGTAGTGGTGGTGGTGGGGATGATGTTGATGTGGTTGAGGTGGTTGTGGTTGATGTGGTGGTTGCTGCGGTTGTGGTGGTTGCTGCGGTTGTGTAGATCTACTACTGCAGTCGGACTCACTCTCAGCTGGCTCAGTTCGTGCGCGAGCTCCAACGTAGCCCCTACGGAGCCAGCACGCGGCTCGTGAGCCTGGGCTCACGACAGGTGATGGCATCACCACCATCATCATCGCCATCATCACCATCATCACCTCCACCATCACCGCCGTCATCACCATCACCATCACCGCCGTCATCATCATCACCACCACCGCCATCATCATCGCCATCATCACCATCATCACCTCCACCACCATCATCATCATCATCACCATCACCGCCGTCATCATCATCACCACCACCGCCATCATCATCGCCATCATCACCATCATCACCATCATCGCCATCATCACCATCATCACCATCACCGCCATCATCATCATCACCACCACCGCCATCATCATCGCCATCATCACCATCATCACCTCCACCATCACCACCATCATCATCACCATCACCGCCGTCATCATCATCACCACCACCGCCATCATCATCGCCATCATCACCATCATCACCTCCACCATCACCGCCGTCATCATTATCACCATCACCGCCATCATCACCATCACCACCATCACCGCCATCACCATCGCCATCATCTTTATCACCATCATCACCTCCACCATCACCATCATCATCATCACCACCACCGCCATCATCATCGCCATCATCTTTATCACCATCATCACCTACACCATCACCGCCATCATCATCGCCATCATCTTTATCACCATCATCACCTCCACCATCACCGCCGTCATCATCATCATCACCATCACCGCCATCATCATCGCCATCATCTTTATCACCATCATCACCTCCACCACCACCGCCATCATCATCGCCATCATCTTTATCACCATCATCACCTCCACCATCACCGCCGTCATCACCATCACCGCCATCATCATCGCCATCATCTTTATCACCATCATCACCTCCACCACCATCACCGCCATCATCATCATCACCATCACCGCCATCATCATCGCCATCATCTTTATCACCATCATCACCTCCACCATCACCGCCGTCATCATCATCATCACCATCACCGCCATCATCATCATCGCCATCATCATCGCCATCATCTTTATCACCATCGTCACCTCCACCATCACCGCCATCATCATCATCACCATCACCGCCATCATCATCACCATCACCGCCATCATCATCATCACCACCATCGCCATCATCTTTATCACCATCATCACCTCCACCATCACCGCCGTCATCATCATCATCATCACCGCCATCATCTTTATCACCATCATCACCTCCACCATCACCGCCGTCATCATCATCACCATCACCGCCATCATCACCATCACCACCACCGCCATCATCATCGCCATCATCTTTATCACCATCATCACCTCCACCATCACCGCCATCATCGCCATCATCTTTATCACCATCATCACCTCCACCACCACCGCCATCATCATCGCCATCATCTTTATCACCATTATCACCTCCACCATCACCACCATCATCATCATCACCATCACCGCCGTCATCATCACCATCACCGCCATCATCATCGCCATCATCTTTATCACCATCATCACCTCCACCACCACCGCCATCATCATCGCCATCATCTTTATCACCATCATCACCTCCACCATCACCGCCATCATCATCGCCATCATCTTTATCACCATCATCACCTCCACCATCACCGCCATCATCATCGCCATCATCTTTATCACCATCATCACCTCCACCATCACCGCCATCATCATCGCCATCATCTTTATCACCATCATCACCTCCACCACCACCGCCATCATCATCGCCATCATCTTTATCACCATCATCACCTCCACCATCACCGCCATCATCATTGCCATCATCTTTATCATCATCTCCACCATCACCGCCATCATCATCGCCATCATCTTTATCACCATCATCACCTCCACCATCACCGCCATCATCATCGCCATCATCTTTATCACCATCATCACCTCCACCACCACCGCCATCATCATCGCCATCATCTTTATCACCATCATCACCTCCACCATCACCGCCATCATCATCGCCATCATCTTTATCACCATCATCACCTCCACCACCACCGCCATCATCATCGCCATCATCTTTATCACCATCATCACCTCCACCATCACCGCCATCATCATCGCCATCATCTTTATCACCATCATCACCTCCACCACCACCGCCATCATCATCGCCATCATCTTTATCACCATCATCACCTCCACCATCACCGCCGTCATCATCATCATCATCACCATCACCGCCATCATCACCATCGCCATCATAACTACCATCACCTCCACCATCACCGCCATCATCATCATCATCACCATCGCCATCATAACTACCATCACCTCCACCATCACCGCCATCATCACCATCACCGCCATCATCATCATCACCATCACCGCCATCATCACCACCATCGCCATCATAACTACCATCACCGGCATCATCATCACCACTCTTACCATCACCATCATCACTGCCATATCCGCCATCATCACCACCATCACCGCCGTCATCATCATCATCACCATCATCACCGCCATAACCACTATCACCACCATCACCACCACCAACATCACTATCACCATCACCACCATCACCACCCATCATTACCACCATCAAAGACAAAGATCCCCCGTATAGCCTTAACAGACTGTAGGGGCAAGTGCTGTTAGCGAGCAGCACCTGTAAAGGCCGGCACGGCAACATCACGCCCGGCCGCCTTTGTCTCCCCAGCGGCGATGTTTACACATCGCACCAGGTCCTCACTTGAGGCTGAGTCGACCTAGGGGAGGCCCAGGACCGGTTCAGACAATCGTCACTGGTGTTGGCTGTGAGCGGGAATCGAACTGGGCTCGCCGGGTTCGTAGCGTGTCTATGTGTGCATCTGTGTGTGCGTGTGGACTCTGTGTGTATGTCTAGTGGATTCGGGAGACAACACTTATTTATTAATGAACACAACAGTTATGCATAGGGTGGTGACCCACCGACTTAGCCTAGCTAACACACAACTTCCCAGATACTCTAGCGCAGGGGTCGGCAAGCTATGGCTCGCGAGCCAGACGTGGCTCTTTTTCGATGACTGCATCTGGCTCGCAAATAAATCTTAGCTGACTTATAAGACCTCTGCTGTGTGTACGTATTTGTCAGCTAAGAGTTATTTGCGAGCCAGATGCAGTCATCGAAAGAGCAAGGATTATTCAACGTCGCCTCGCCAAGCACGCTGAGGAGAGAGGCTTGCGGAGCCCCAGTGTGGTTTCAGGAAAGGGCGGTCCTGCACAGATGCCATATTTTCTGTCCGTCTGCTACAGCAGGGGTCTCATAAGTCAGCTAAGATTTATTTGCGAGCCAGATGCAGTCATCGAAAGAGCAAGAAAGAGCAAGGATTATTCAACGTCGCCTCGCCAGGCACGCCGAGGAGAGAGAGGCTTGCGGAGCCCCAATGTTGGTTTCAGGAAAGGGCGGTCCTGCACAGATGCCATATTTTCTGTCCGTCTGCTACAGCAGAGGTCTTATAAGTCAGCTGAGATTTATTTGCGAGCCAGATGCAGTCATCGAAAGAGCCACGTCTGGCTCGCGAGCCATCGGCTGCCGACCCCTTCTCTAGCGTGACCCCAGCCAGGTGGGCTACTGGGCAGGCCCGCTGCCTGGAGGCTTGACTCCTGACGATGCGTCTTCGTTCTTGATACGGGCAGCAGCCTCGAACCTCGTGAGGAGGCTGCTTATGGTGGGCCTCGGCCACGCCTCCCTTCGAGAACCCTCTCGAAGCCCCCCCACTTCTGTCCACGTGCCCCCCCCCCCCCTCCGAGGTGCCCCCTAGGCTCCCGGCCCCCCACTGGGGTCCAGTCACGTGTTCCAGCCGGGGTCACAGAGAGCGCCACGACCTCACACCACCCCCTGTCGTCATTCCCGCCTCCAGCCGGGATGACGTCATGTGTGTGTGTGTGTAGACCCGCGTGGTCCTGCACGCTGCCCCGCAAAGTGACGTCACACGTGTGCGTGTGTGTACACGGTAGTGATGCTACCGTCGCTACACCTGTATCTGTGTGTGTGTATCTACGTGTGTATCTGTGTGTGCGTGTAGACTCTGCGTGTGTGTATCTGTGTGTACGTATCTATGTGTGTGTGTTTGTGCTTGTAGACTCTGTGTGTGTGTGTGTATCTGTATGTGTGTATCTGTATGTGTGTGTACGTGTGCGTGTGTGCGTGTAGACTCTGTGTGTGTGTATCTGTGTGTACGTATCTATGTGTGTGTGTGTGCTTGTAGACTCTGTGTGTGTGTGTATCTGTATGTGTGTATCTGTATGTGTGTGTATGTGTGCATCTGTATGTGTGCGTGTGTGCGTGTAGACTCTGTGTGTGTGTGTATCTGTGTGTGTGTGTATCTGACCCTGTTGACGGCTGTGGTGCCTCAAATATTGGAAGAAGTCACCCCCTGTGAGTGCCTGGCTGAGGTGCCATCTGTTGAGGGAGTACTGAAGGCGATCCGGAGTCTGAAACCAGGAAAGGCACCGGACAGAGATGATCTCCCAAGCGAAATGCCGAGGGAGGGTGGCGTTTGTGCACAGACTGCCCTACATGACATCATAACAACAGTCTGGACCACTGGACGGGTTCCGCAGGATTGGAAGGATGCCCTGGTGGTCCCCCTCTTTAAGATTGGGGACCGCACAGACTGTAACAACTACAGGGGCATCTCACTCCTCAGTGTGCCGGGAAAGGTCCTGGCAAGGATTATTCAACTTCGCCTTGCCAGGCACGCTGAGGAGAGGCTTGCGGAGCCCCAATGCGGTTTCAGGAAAGGGCGGTCCTGCACAGATGCCATATTTTCTGTCCGTCTGCTGCAGCAGAGGTGTAGGGAATTCCAACAAGACCTACATCTCTGCTTTATTGACCTGGTCAAGGCCTATGATACCATCAGTAGGCCTGGGCTCTGGGTTGTTCTTCGTGCTTTTGGAGTCCCTAACCCCCTGCTCACGATCATTAAGGACCTTGATGATGGTGAACGGGCCCGGGTAAAACTACGTGGCCGGGAGTCAGAGCCATTCCCTGTACACCTTGGGGTGCGACAGGGATGTCCTCTGGCTCCCACATTATTTAACATCTATTTTGACCACGTAGTTCGTGAATCCTTCAATAGCTGTACAGGGGGAATCTCCATTTGATACAGATATAATGGGAGGCTGATCGATGCCCGGGTGCGGTCAAGGGATGGCTCCCTATTGCTCAACCACGTTATGTATGCCGATGATTTGGTAATAGCTGCTCATTCAGAGGAGGAGTTGGAGACGCTGCTGCTGAGACTGGAGCGTGCAACTAAGAGATGGAGCCTTACCATCAGCCCCACCAAAACTAAGCACCTGCCTGGGTATTTTGTACCATCGGACACTCCACCTCCACAACTCCCAATCGGTGATGGGGCAGTTCTGGAGAGAGTGGAGAGTTTCCCATACCTGGGCAGTGTGCTTATGACCGGCTCCAGTTTAACAGCAGAGGTCTCACTCCAAATCAGTCGAGCGGCAATATCTTTTCATCGGTTGCGTAACACTGTGTGGAAGCTACCTGGTCTGTCGCTCCGCACTAAGCTTCAGGTCTTCTCGGCCACGGTCATTCTCCCTCCCTTCTCTACGCTGGACCCCCCTAATGGAACATCTTCTCCGGTTAGAAACATTTAGGCTAGCCTGCCTACGATCCATCTTGGGTTTAACCAGGCTGGACTGTGTGAGGAGCTCACAAATCCTGGAAAGATCTGGGCAAGGTCCCATCTGTGAGCTCCTCCGGCAGGCAAGGCTGCGATGGCTGGGTCATGTAGCCCACATGCCCAGACACCGCATGCCGAAACAGCTTTTGTTCGGCCGGATTGAGGGGGCTAAACGGGCACGGCACGGGCTAGAGAAAGATGGAGTGACGTGGTACAGGAAGACGTGGAGCTGAGTGGACTTGCCGATGACTGATACCAGCGGTGTCAAGATCGGCCTCTGTGGAGGAGGCTCGTTAAGGACGCTACTGGGCAGTTGGAGGCAGTCGCCCTCCAACAACAACGGAGGGCGGAGGAGCGACGCTGACATCAACGAGCGGAGCGCCGGGTGGCTAAAGCACAGCAGGTTGGCACAGTAGGGGGCACAGGTGGTGCATCGGCCAGTCATCTCAGTCATCTCAGTCAGTCGACCCGTGGCACCTGGGTCTGCCCCGTGACCTCCTGCCAGCGGGCGTTCGACACTTCACGTGGCCTCAGGGTGCACATGGCCTGGCACAAGCGTCGTGGTGACGTCACCGCCACTTAGTGGCGAATGGCGGTTGTTGTTGTTGTGTAGACTCTGTGTGTGTGTGTATCTTTGTGTGTGTGTGTGTGTATCTGTGTGTGTGTGTGTATCTGTATGGGTCTATGTATGTGTGCGTGTAGACTCTGTGTGTATCTGTATGTGTGCGTGTGTGCGTGTAGACTCTGTGTGTGTGTATCTGTATGCGTGTGTGTGTGTGTACGTGTGCGTGTAGACTCTGTGTGTGTGTATCTGTATGTATGTGTGTGTGTTTCTGAATGTGTGTGCGTGTGTGCGTGTAGACTCTGTGTGTGTATCTGTATGTATGTGTGTGTGTATGTGAATGTGTGTGCGTGTGTGCGTGTAGACTCTGTGTGTGTATCTGTATGTATGTGTGTATCTGAATGTGTGTGCGTGTGTGCGTGTAGACTCTGTGTGTGTGTATCTGAATGTGTGTGCGTGTGTGCGTGTAGACTCTGGGTGTGTGTATCTGAATGTGTGTGCGTGTAGACTCTGGGTGTGTGTATCTGAATGTGTGTGCGTGTAGACTCTGTGTGTGAACGCCGAGGTGCGGAGGCTGCGCTCTCTCCAGGCCATCAACGAACGCTGCCTGGAGCTGCAGAGGAACAAACCACGTGGGTACCAGCGCTAGGCCATAGACCCTAGACTCTAGCCCTGTACCCTAACACTAGACCTAGACTCTAGCCTTGTACCCTAACACTAGACCAAGACTCTAGCTCTGTACCCTAACACTAGACCTAGACTCTAGCCCTGTACCCTAACACTAGACCTAGACTCTAGCCCTGTACCCTAACACTAAACCTAGACTCTAGCCTTGTACCCTAACACTAGACCTAGACTCTAGCCTTGTACCCTAACACTAAACCTAGACTCTAGCCTTGTACCCTAACACTAGACCTAGACTCTAGCCTTGTACCCTAACACTAAACCTAGACTCTAGCTCTGTACCCTAACACTAGACCTAGACTCTAGCCTGGTACCCTAACACTAGACCTAGACTCTAGCCCTGTACCCTAACACTAAACCTAGACTCTAGCCCTGTACCCTAACACTAAACCTAGACTCTAGCCTTGTACCCTAACACTAGACCTAGACTCTAGCCTTGTACCCTAACACTAGACCTAGACTCTAGCCTTGTAACCTAACACTAAACCTAGACTCTAGCCCTGTACCCTAACACTAGACCTAGACTCTAGCCTTGTACCGTAACACTAAACCTAGACTCTAGCCCTGTACCCTAACACTAAACCTAGACTCTAGCCTTGTACCCTAACACTAGACCTAGACTCTAGCCTTGTACCCTAACACTAGACCTAGACTCTAGCCCTGTACCCTAACACTAAACCTAGACTCCAGCCCTGTACCCTAACACTAGACCTAGACTCTAGCTCTGTACCCTAACACTAAACCTAGACTCTAGCCCTGTACCCTAACACTAGACCTAGACTCTAGCGTTGTACCGTAACACTAGACCTAGACTCTAGCCCTGTACCCTAACACTAGACCTAGACTCTAGCCCTGTACCCTAACACTAAACCTAGACTCTAGCCCTGTACCCTAACACTAAACCTAGACTCTAGCCTTGTACCCTAACACTAGACCTAGACTCTAGCCTTGTACCCTAACACTAAACCTAGACTCTAGCCCTGTACCCTAACACTAGACCCTAGACTCTAGCCCTGTACCCTAACACTAGACCTAGACTCTAGCCCTGTACCCTAACACTAAACCTAGACTCTAGCCCTGTACCCTAACACTAAACCTAGACTCTAGCCCTGTACCCTAACACTAAACCTAGACTCTAGCCCTGTACCCTAACACTAAACCTAGACTCTAGCCTTGTACCCTAACACTAAACCTAGACTCTAGCCCTGTACCCTAAAGTCACTATAAACCACTCTTACACCCACACTAAACCCACTATAAACCACTCTTACACCCACACTAAACCCACTATTACACCCACACTAAACCCACTCTTACACCCACACTAAACCCAGTATAAACCACTCTTACACCCACACTAAACCCATATAAACCACTCTTACACCCACACTAATCCCATATAAACCACTCTTACACCCACACTAAACCCAGTATAAACCACTCTTACACCCACACTAAACCCATATAAACCACTCTTACACCCACACTAAACCCAGTATAAACCACTCTTACACCCACACTAAACCCATATAAACCACTCTTACACCCACACTAAACCCACTCTTACACCCACACTAAACCCATATAAACCACTCTTACACCCACACTAAACCCACTATAAACCACTCTTACACCCACACTAAACCCACTTTAAACCACTCTTACACCCACACTAAACCCATATAAACCACTCTTACACCCACACTAAACCCACTATAAACCACTCTTACACCCACTATAAACCCACTCTTACACCCACACTAAACCCACTATAAACCACTCTTACACCCACTTTAAACCCATATAAACCACTCTTACACCCACACTAAACCCATATAAACCACTCTTACACCCACAACAATAAACCCATATAAACCACTCTCACACCCACACTAAACCCATATAAACCACTCTTACACCCACACTAAACCCACTATAAACCACTCTTACACCCACTCTAAACCCACTATAAACCACTCTTACACCCACACTAAACCCAGTATAAACCACTCTTACACCCACACTAAACCCATATAAACCACTCTTACACCCACACTAAACCCACTATAAACCACTCTTACTCCCACACTAAACCCATATAAACCACTCTTACACCCACACTAAACCCATATAAACCACTCTTACACCCACACTAAACCCATATAAACCACTCTTACACCCACACTAAACCCATATACACCACTCTTACACCCACACTAAACCCACTTTAAACCACTCTTACACCCACACTAAACCCACTGTAAACCACTCTTACACCCACACTAAACCCACTATAAACCACTCTTACACCCACACTAGACCCACTATAAACCACTCTTACACCCACACTAAACCCACTTTAAACCACTCTTACACCCACACTAAACCCATATAAACCACTCTTACACCCACACTAAACCCACTATAAACCACTCTTACACCCACTATAAACCCACTCTTACACCCACACTAAACCCACTATAAACCACTCTTACACCCACTATAAACCCATATAAACCACTCTTACACCCACACTAAACCCATATAAACCACTCTTACACCCACAAAAATAAACCCATATAAACCACTCTTACACACACACTAAACCCATATAAACCACTCTTACACCCACACTAAACCCACTATAAACCACTCTTACACCCACACTAAACCCACTATAAACCACTCTTACACCCACACTAAACCCACTATAAACCACTCTTACACCCAGACTAAACCCATATAAACCACTCTTACACCCACACTAAACCCACTATAAACCACTCTTACACCCACACTAAACCCACTATAAACCACTCTTACACCCACACTAAACCCACTATAAACCACTCTTACACCCACACTAAACCCATATAAACCACTCTTACACCCACACTAGACCCACTATAAACCACTCTTACACCCACACTAAACCCACTATAAACCACTCTTACACCCACACTAAACCCACTATAAACCACTCTTACACCCACACTAAACCCATATAAACCACTCTTACACCCACACTAGACCCACTATAAACCACTCTTACACCCACACTAAACCCACTATAAACCACTCTTACACCCACACTAAACCCACTGTAAACCACTCTTACACCCACACTAAACCCACTGTAAACCACTCTTACACCCACACTAAACCCATATAAACCACTCTTACACCCACACTAAACCCACTATAAACCACTCTTACACCCACACTAAACCCACTATAAACCACTCTTACACCCACACTAAACCCATATAAACCACTCTTACACCCACACTAAACCCATATAAACCACTCTTACACCCACACTAAACCCACTTTAAACCACTCTTACACCCAAACTAAACCCATATAAACCCACTCTTACACCCACTATAAACCCATATAAACCACTCTTACACCCACACTAAACCCACTCTTACACCCACACTAAACCCACACTAAACCACTCTTACACCCACACTAAACCCACTGTAAACCACTCTTACACCCACACTAAACCCACTATAAACCACTCTTACACCCACACTAAACCCATTATAAACCACTCTTACACCCACACAAAACCCATATAAACCACTCTTACACCCACACTAAACCCACTCTTACACCCACACTAAACCCACTGTAAACCACTCTTACACCCACACTAAACCCATTATAAACCACTCTTACACCCACACAAAACCCATATAAACCACTCTTACACCCACACTAAACCCACTCTTACACCCACACTAAACCCACTATAAACCACTCTTACACCCACACTAAACCCACTATAAACCACTCTTACACCCACACTAAACCCATATAAACCACTCTTACACCCACACTAGACCCACTATAAACCACTCTTACACCCACACTAAACCCACTATAAACCACTCTTACACCCACACTAAACCCACTGTAAACCACTCTTACACCCACACTAAACCCACTGTAAACCACTCTTACACCCACACTAAACCCATATAAACCACTCTTACACCCACACTAGACCCACTATAAACCACTCTTACACCCACACTAAACCCACTATAAACCACTCTTACACCCACACTAAACCCATATAAACCACTCTTACACCCACACTAAACCCATATAAACCACTCTTACACCCACACTAAACCCACTTTAAACCACTCTTACACCCAAACTAAACCCATATAAACCCACTCTTACACCCACTATAAACCCATATAAACCACTCTTACACCCACACTAAACCCACTCTTACACCCACACTAAACCCACACTAAACCACTCTTACACCCACACTAAACCCACTGTAAACCACTCTTACACCCACACTAAACCCACTATAAACCACTCTTACACCCACACTAAACCCATTATAAACCACTCTTACACCCACACAAAACCCATATAAACCACTCTTACACCCACACTAAACCCACTCTTACACCCACACTAAACCCACTGTAAACCACTCTTACACCCACACTAAACCCATTATAAACCACTCTTACACCCACACTAAACCTACTGTAAACCACTCTTACACCCACACTAAACTCATTATAAACCACTCTTACACCCACACTAAACCCACTGTAAACCACTCTTACACCCACACTAAACCCATATAAACCACTCTTACACCCACACTAAACCCATATAAACCACTCTTACACCCACACAAAACCCATATAAACCACTCTTACACCCACACTAAACCCACTATAAACCCATTCTTACACCCACACTAAACCCACTGTAAACCACTCTTACACCCACACTAAACCCACTATAAACCACTCTTACACCCACACTAAACCCATTATAAACCACTCTTACACCCACACAAAACCCATATAAACCACTCTTACACTCACACTAAACCCACTCTTACACCCACACTAAACCCACTGTAAACCACTCTTACACCCACACTAAACCCATTATAAACCACTCTTACACCCACACTAAACCCACTGTAAACCACTCTTACACCCACACTAAACCCATTATAAACCACTCTTACACCCACACTAAACCCACTGTAAACCACTCTTACACACACACTTAACCCATATAAACCACTCTTACACCCACACAAAACCCATATAAACCACTCTTACACCCACACTAAACCCACTCTTACACCCACACTAAACCCACTGTAAACCACTCTTACACCCACACTAAACCCATTATAAACCACTCTTACACCCACACTAAACCCACTGTAAACCACTCTTACACCCACACTAAACCCACTGTAAACCACTCTTACATCCACACTAAACCCATATAAACCACTCTTACACACACACTAAACCCACTATAAACCACTCTTACACCCACTATAAACCACTCTTACACCCACACTAAACCCACTCTTACACCCACACTAAACCCACTCTTACACCCACACTAAACCCACTATAAACCACTCTTACACCCACACTAAACCCACACTAAACCCACTATAAACCACTCTTACACCCACACTAAACCCAGTATAAACCACTCTTACACCCACACTAAACCCACTATAAACCATTCTTACACCCAAACTAAACCCATATAAACCACTCTTACACCCACACTAAACCCACTCTTACACCCACACTAAACCCATATAAACCACTCTTACACCCACACTAAACCCACTATAAACCACTCTCACACCCACACTAAACCCACTTTAAACCACTCTTACACCCACACTAAACCCATATTAACCACTCTTACACCCACACTAAACCCACTATAAACCACTCTTACACCCACTATAAACCCACTCTTACACCCACACTAAACCCACTATAAACCACTCTTACACCCACTTTAAACCCATATAAACCACTCTTACACCCACACTAAACCCATATAAACCACTCTTACACCCACAAAAATAAACCCATATAAACCACTCTCACACCCACACTAAACCCATATAAACCACTCTTACACCCACACTAAACCCACTATAAACCACTCTTACACCCACTCTAAACCCACTATAAACCACTCTTACACCCACACTAAACCCAGTATAAACCACTCTTACACCCACACTAAACCCATATAAACCACTCTTACACCCACACTAAACCCATATAAACCACTCTTACACCCACACTAAACCCACTATAAACAACTCTTACTCCCACACTAAACCCATATAAACCACTCTTACACCCACACTAAACCCATATAAACCACTCTTACACCCACACTAAACCCATATAAACCACTCTTACACCCACACTAAACCCATATACACCACTCTTACACCCACACTAAACCCACTTTAAACCACTCTTACACCCACACTAAACCCACTGTAAACCACTCTTACACCCACACTAAACCCACTATAAACCACTCTTACACCCACACTAGACCCACTATAAACCACTCTTACACCCACACTAAACCCACTTTAAACCACTCTTACACCCACACTAAACCCATATAAACCACTCTTACACCCACACTAAACCCACTATAAACCACTCTTACACCCACTATAAACCCACTCTTACACCCACACTAAACCCACTATAAACCACTCTTACACCCACTATAAACCCATATAAACCACTCTTACACCCACACTAAACCCATATAAACCACTCTTACACCCACAAAAATAAACCCATATAAACCACTCTTACACACACACTAAACCCATATAAACCACTCTTACACCCACACTAAACCCACTATAAACCACTCTTACACCCACACTAAACCCACTATAAACCACTCTTACACCCACACTAAACCCACTATAAACCACTCTTACACCCAGACTAAACCCATATAAACCACTCTTACACCCACACGAAACCCACTATAAACCACTCTTACACCCACACTAAACCCACTATAAACCACTCTTACACCCACACTAAACCCACTATAAACCACTCTTACACCCACACTAAACCCATATAAACCACTCTTACACCCACACTAGACCCACTATAAACCACTCTTACACCCACACTAAACCCACTATAAACCACTCTTACACCCACACTAAACCCACTATAAACCACTCTTACACCCACACTAAACCCATATAAACCACTCTTACACCCACACTAGACCCACTATAAACCACTCTTACACCCACACTAAACCCACTATAAACCACTCTTACACCCACACTAAACCCATTATAAACCACTCTTACACCCACACTAAACCCACTGTAAACCACTCTTACACCCACACTAAACCCATATAAACCACTCTTACACCCACACTAGACCCACTATAAACCACTCTTACACCCACACTAAACCCACTATAAACCACTCTTACACCCATACTAAACCCATATAAACCACTCTTACACCCACACTAAACCCATATAAACCACTCTTACACCCACACTAAACCCACTTTAAACCACTCTTACACCCAAACTAAACCCATATAAACCCACTCTTACACCCACTATAAACCCATATAAACCACTCTTACACCCACACTAAACCCACTCTTACACCCACACTAAACCCACACTAAACCACTCTTACACCCACACTAAACCCACTGTAAACCACTCTTACACCCACACTAAACCCACTATAAACCACTCTTACACCCACACTAAACCCATTATAAACCACTCTTACACCCACACAAAACCCATATAAACCACTCTTACACCCACACTAAACCCACTCTTACACCCACACTAAACCCACTGTAAACCACTCTTACACCCACACTAAACTCATTATAAACCACTCTTACACCCACACTAAACCCACTGTAAACCACTCTTACACCCACACTAAACCCATATAAACCACTCTTACACCCACACTAAACCCATATAAACCACTCTTACACCCACACAAAACCCATATAAACCACTCTTACACCCACACTAAACCCACTATAAACCCACTCCTACACCCACACTAAACCCACTGTAAACCACTCTTACACCCACACTAAACCCACTATAAACCACTCTTACACCCACACTAAACCCATTATAAACCACTCTTACACCCACACAAAACCCATATAAACCACTCTTACACTCACACTAAACCCACTCTTACACCCACACTAAACCCACTGTAAACCACTCTTACACCCACACTAAACCCATTATAAACCACTATTACACCCACACTAAACCCACTGTAAACCACTCTTACACACACACTTAACCCATATAAACCACTCTTACACCCACACAAAACCCATATAAACCACTCTTACACCCACACTAAACCCACTCTTACACCCACACTAAACCCACTGTAAACCACTCTTACACCCACACTAAACCCATTATAAACCACTCTTACACCCACACTAAACCCACTGTAAACCACTCTTACACCCACACTAAACCCACTGTAAACCACTCTTACATCCACACTAAACCCATATAAACCACTCTTACACACACACTAAACCCACTATAAACCACTCTTACACCCACACTAAACCCACTCTTACACCCACACTAAACCCACTCTTACACCCACACTAAACCCACTATAAACCACTCTTACACCCACACTAAACCCACACTAAACCCACTATAAACCACTCTTACACCCACACTAAACCCACTCTTACACCCACACTAAACCCACACTAAACCCACACTAAACCCACTATAAACCACTCTTACACCCACACTAAACCCACACTAAACCCACACTAAACCCACTCTTACACCCACACTAAACCCACACTAAACCCACACTAAACCCACTCTATCCCCCACTCTCACACGCACAGGTGAGACACGGGCACCTCAGGAAGAGGGGTGTTTGAGCGATAAGAAGAGGAGGAGGAGGAGGAGAGGCGGTGGTGCCGCGGTGAGCGGCCCCTGCCCCTACCGGGCCCCCAGCTCGGTGTGGGAAGTTTCCCAGGCGGCGCTGTCTCGCCCCGCCGACATTGAGGAGCTCGCCGCTCTCGGGAAGCGCCTGGGAGGCTGCCCTTACTACGGAGGCAGGGCAGCCCTGCCATCGGCGGAGGTGTGTGTGTGTGGGTTGGTGAGTGGATGAGTTGGTTGGTGAGTGGGTGAATGAGT